CTGACTGTTCATGAATTATTGAATAAAGCCAATTAGATCTTCAAATGTACTCAGTTGAATTTTGGCTTTTAACAGATTTGGTGGCAGGGGTGGGATCCAAAGTGAACTGCTGATGGCTTTTGGGGACAATGAGAAAGACAAGTGTGGTACCCGGACACCCCTTTTTGAGTTCACTGTCTTTCTCAGCATTTCTGAAGCCAGGGGAAGTTCCTCATGACTGTGAGCTCTGCTCTCTTTGTGTCAAGCTCCTGGTCTAATTGGCTTTCCAGTTAGTTCCCCATTTGTTTGGAATCTTTCCCCAAATTCCACATTGGGAGCTGCCACGGCTACAGTAGTTCCCCCATTTGTCTGGAATCAGGCTGCCGTCTTCATTTGCTAAGGTCTGCTGGTTCAATGCTTTCCCCCAGTCCAAAGTTCCCCAGGAATTGTTGGTAGTTACCAGCTGGAGTTGGACTGGGTCCAACTTGAGCTGGACTGGGTCCAGTAAAGACTATTGCTAACAGGAATCTCAGAAGCCAAAAAGTTGCAAAACTTGGTGGGTGCTCTGCAAACACTGGAGACATCCAAATCAAATTGGCTAGGAAGAGAAGTAGCTAACATCAAAGTAGACTGTTTCCACTCAGGACACTGGATCAAGATTTTATACTTTAACTAAAAATGAAACTCTCTCTTCTCCCTCTCCTTTACCCTGGCGTTGGCCTGGAAAGATAACGTCATCACCCATATCTCCCAGGCCATTGCTAGGGGGTGTAAGCTCTGGAATTTAGAACAATTTTTTATTTCAGGCTAGAAGATTCTCACCCCATATGCACTAAAAACCTGAATGACCCCTGGCTTAGGAGTAAATCCAATGGGAGTATGATCAGAAACCTCTCCTTAACTCTTGAAACATTGCCGATTCCATTGCTAAGACACTAGCTACCCAGCAAAGATCCTTAGACTCTCTGGCCAAAGTTGTTCTTTATAACAGGATTATCTTTTAGCTGAGCTGTTCTGTGGCCAACACCACCTGCTGTACCTAGAATGAACACTTCTGGGGAAGCTGAAACTCAATTACATAAGATCACTGAGCAAACGACTTGGCTTAAAAAGGTGACTCCTTCAATGGAGTCTTTCTTTGATTAATTTGATTTTGATTGGTTTGGGTCTTGGAGACCCATGGCTCCCAAGTGCACTCTTAACATTGGGAATTATCCCGCTTATAGTTATAATAATATCCCTGGTGCATTTCATTCTCTCTAAAGCTTTAAATGCATATTTACAGCTGCTAATCACCAAGCAAATCTCCCTAAGACTGGACCTCAAAAAAGGAACAAAGAGAATGATTGACTAAAAAATTGTGAGTCTGGAGTTGTGCAACCTGTGAATACTACACAGATTCAGCAACGAAGCAGCATCACCAAAAACTGAGAACTACAGAGCAGTAGGTGAGTGGTACTGATGCTTAAAATTTTGATCACATCTCTCAGTTAGGTTGAGAGTTTGATCAAAGTGAGGGGGAGTTGTTAGAAAGAAACTACAGGCCCAAAATGGAGTCACTTGTGCTAAGCCCCACCGAGACTTAATGCCTAACCTAATTGCAATTTCAGCCTCTCTCAGGAGCGGTGTTTTAAACCAAGTAGTCTGGAATTACCTGGTCAACACCAGTGAGGTAATCTGCCTAAGACCCTCTGCCTTCCCCTAAGGGAAGATGACCCTGCCTAAATTAATCCACTGTCTTTACTTTCTTGCCCCACCCTCCTTCTGCCTGTAAAAGCCTTCCATTTTGTACAGCTCCTCACAGCACCTATCTACTTGCTAGGTGGGATGCTAACCCTACTCATGAATTTTTGAATAAGGCCAATTAGATCTTCAATTTTCTTAGTTGACTTTTGGTTTTTTAACACTTGGCATCACCACACCCAGAATTCCACTGTCACTAAGGCTGAGGTGATCATCCTTTACATCATCTTGACCAAACTCCCTGGACCATGTGGTCCAGGCAGGAGCTGGAGACCTCATTCTGCCCCACTGCCCCCAGGGCTGCACCTCAAGGTACCTCTCAAGCTCCTTTAGGATGCCAGGCCCGGGCCTCAGTCTCAGCTCCAATCAACTGTCCCCCACCCTCACCAGGGCCCTCATCTTGGTCCCCAAGCTAGATTATAGCAAGGCTTCTCTGAGGCTCTCAGACCACAGGAGGGAGGAACACGGAGGGCTGGAAATCTAGTAACAGAGGTCAGAGATCGCCCCTGGAGTGTAAAACCAACACAGGACCTCCTCCTAACCTAGCTCAGGGAAGGGCAGTCCCAGCCATGCCGTCCCACGGGCCAGAAACCCCAGAGTCAGAGTCACCCCATCACCTTCCCTCCTAATCTTCATATCAAGCCACCTCTGAAGGCCGGGACCATGAATCTTGTTCACTACTGTGCCCTATGCCTAGAACAGCGCCGGGTGCATAGCAGGAACTCCATAAATATTTGTTGAATTAATAAATGAATGAATGAGTAATGGCCTCGGAGATCCCCACCTGCCAGGCTGGAATGAAAGCAGCAGGAGCTGCTGCAGAAGGAGCCCCCCCCGCTTGGATCCTTCAGAAGGGATCCCTCCACTCCTTTCTCTTTCCTACTCATCACTTAGGTTCAAGGCTATCCATGTACTATTGTGCTATGTGGTGTCGGGCAATACCTCCACTCCCTAATGGGATGGACCTGGTGGGATAACCGAATTATCAGTGGCCGCTGCCTTGCCTAACGCCAGGGGGCGCCATTCCCCAGTCCCTGCCCGTCTCCGCGGAGATTTTCCTCCCCGGCCCAGAACCGAGGCCGAGAGAGGCAGGAAGCCCGCCTTCGACTTCTCGCAGTCCCGGGGGCTCTCAGGTGCGCTCCCTGCAGGTGCAGGACGGCGGCGCGACCGCACGGGGGCAGCAAACACCAGGGGCGCGGGGGCCCGCCGAACCCGAGCGTGCTGCGCAAATTGATGCAAAGTTCTCCGTCGCTGATTTTGTCCCTTCTCAGCCTGCGACAACAACCTTGCGTCATTCCGAGGAGCTCGCCCGGTGCAGGTCCCGTCCTGCCTGGGTTGCTGGAGGCGAAACCACCGAGAAATGTTCAGGACATCCTCCTTTCTTTCTCGTTCCAATATTAAAACTTCACTTTATTTCAAATCTTCATTTTTTTTCCCCAGAAGTACGCAAAAATGATAAAATATGCCTTCAAACTTATTGGAATTTGTCTTTTTTTTTTTTTCTTTCTAAAGATGGCTTGATTGAAACCACTTAAATGCAAAAAAAAAAAAAAAAATCATTACAAACGGATGAAAGCTCGAGCACTTATCCTGATTTAAGGAAAAAGGTTTCGGAGTCAGACAGACTTGGAATTGAACTGACCTCTGCCGCTTAATCACAAGTCTATGCTCTCGCCCCAAATTTCTTTATCTGTAAAACTGGGATATAGTTTATATATAGAATCTGCCAGGTGAGGTCATGGGGAGGAGTCGATGAAATAGTGGCTGTAAAGTGCTTTGTGCAGTACCTGACCGCACACCAATGCTTGGGGGTTGGTGGGTGAGTGAAGTCAGCGTCAGCAGTTGAGAAGGAACGCAAGAATTTTTAAAAAACAAAATGAGCTACAAATTGGACAAAAGTGCTTTCAAATATGTGCAAATTTCTAAAAAGAAATCACCCCCAGGGGCACGCATTTTGTTAATTCATAAACCAATCTGTGGAAATATTCATTGCAACCAAACCACTTTCAAGTAATTCACCTGGAGCCCAAGACTAGATCGTGAAATTCCAAAAAAAGTCCCGACCATAGAAAAAAGGGTCATTGTTGCCTTAAAAGTAATTCAAAAAAAATTTTTTACACAAAAATGAATGAAAATGCTTTAAAAAGTGTTCTTTAAAAGGATACAAAGTTGCCAAACCATCCCATTGTTCAAAAACATTCACCCCCCCCAAAAAAAAAGTTTGGATAAATGGGAAAAAACACGTCAACACCTGCAACAGATTGCAAAGTCACAGCTGCGTGGTACAAAAATCAATGTGTGAAAAACAACCATGGCAAATAATTTTCACCAATTCATTTACTGATCAGTTTGTTCAAAACCAATGTGTTTCATGCGTTTGTTTTCTGCCAGCTCACTTATACCTCCCTCTGGGATCTTCCACACACCCACACCCACACCCATCCTCAACTACTCCTCTTCCTGCTTGTTCCTTGTGTCCTAAAGAAAACGTTCCTCCACCCATCAAAGGACATTTAGGGTGTTTCCATATCTTGGCTTCTGTGAATAATGCTGCAGTGAACATGGGAGTGCCAATAGCTCTTCAAGATACTGATTTCAATTCCTTTGAATATATACCCAGAAGTGGGCTTGCTGGATCCTAAGGTAGTTCTATTTGTAATTTTTTGAGGAACTTCCACTCTGTTTTCCATAATGGCTGTACTAATTTACATTCCCACACGTGAGTTGTAACAACATGGATGGAGCTGGAGGACATTAGGCTCAGTGGAATAAGCAAAACACAGAAAGAGAAATACCGCATGACCTCAGTTATATGTGGAATCTAAAAAAAAGTTGAACTCTTAGAAACAGAAAGTAGTATGGTGGTGGTCAGAGGCTCAGGAAGTTGGGTGATAGTGATCAAAGGGTACAAAGTTTCAGTTATACAGGATGAATAAGGTATAAAGATCTAATGTACAGCATGGTGATGACAGCTGACAGTGCTGCACTGTATACTTGAAATATGCTAAGAGGATAGGTTTTATTAAATCTTCTCAACACACACACACACACACGGTAACTATGTAGAGGTGACAGAAATGTTGTTTAACTGGTTTTTGGCGATCATTTCACAGTGTATATGTGTATCAAAACATCAAGTTGTACACATTAAATGTATACAACGTGGGGAGTTCCCTGGTGGCCTAGTGGTTAGGATTTGGCGCTTTCACTGCCGTGGCTGGGGTTCAATCCCTGGTCGGGGAACTGAGATACCCCAAGCCGCAAGGTACAGCCCAAAAAAATGTATACAATTTTTATTAAAAGAAAAAAAATGTTCCTCAATGCCCCTTCACTTGACCATTTAAACGATATTGTTGAAAGAAGTCATGCAGTCACCAGCCACTGGCCATACAGCTTCAGCCCCTGCCTCCCCACTTCCATGGCCACTGTCCTGGCCCAAGTCACTGGTAAACTCCTTGTTGCTGAATCTGGTGTAGAGACAGCAGGAGCAAAGCCAAAAGGTAGTGACAGCCTGGAAGAAATGTATGCAACCCATGAAACAGTCCAAGGACCAGTAGCCAGAATACATGGAATATCTAAGGAACACCTACAAATCAGTAAGATAAAATCAAATGACGCAGCAGAACGCATAGATAAAGGCACTTCACAGAAGAGAAAAACCAGAGAGCCAATGAACGTAGGAAAAGATGTCCAACTTCGTTAGTAAGCGAGGGAAATGCAAATTAAAACCACAATTAGATACTATCTCATACTCATTTGAAAAAACAAAAAAAGTCTGACGCTTCACCGTGTGTGCGTGGATGAGTTCATGGTCGACCAGAGCATCAGACACTGCCCATGCCCTGACCCAGCACATCTTACCGTGGGTGGCTCTCAGACTTGGTTTTCAGACTTTGAGAGCCACCCACAGTAAGGAGTATGCTCTACAAAGCTGCCCACTACTCAGACACGTGAAACTGAAACACGAAGTTAACAAAACAGTAATTACCCTTATTACGTGCAATGTTGCATTTATTCTCTATCTATTCTATTTCACAACTGATTGAGTTGTTTTCACTACCCCCTAATGGGTTGCAAACCCCAGTCTGAAAAGCACTCCTTCCAGAAGCATCCACCTGTGAATGAAAAAACATGTGCAAGACTGCGTGTGGTAGCATTTTTCCATCAATTGGGAAATAAATAAACTGGGTGTATCTGTCTCAGGGATGACTAAGCAGTGATTAAAATGAATGCAATCTGTGTGTATCAATGTGGACAGATCTCAAAAACACGGTGTTACGTGAAAAGGGAAAGTTACAGTCATAGCTGTGGAATGATAGCATTTGTATAATTTTTTCAAGCCCACTAAGCCATATTATATGTTGTTCTGAACACATATACAGTGAAAATCTTTCTTAAAATACAAGACCTAGAAGGTCCCTGCCCGTTTGTGATGGTAGCTGGTTCCCTGGAGCAGCAGATGGAGGGAGAAAGTCAGAGAGAATGTCAGCTTCATCTGTCATGCTTTTTCCTTTTTTCTACTTTCAAAGATTAAGAAGCCATAATGGCAAAATTCTAACATTTGTTCATTCTAAATGGTGGATACCTCAAGGTTGAGAACAAATCAGTCAAGCAAAGATCTGAAAGAAGTGATCCAGGCCATTAGAAAACAGCAGTGCAAAGGCCCTGAGGTCACCGTGGCATGTTCCAGGATCAGCAGAGGCCAGGAGGCCAGAGCGAGGAGGAGAGAGGTTAAGGATGAGGTTGGTAAGGAATTGGATTTTAGGTTTTAAGCAGGAGGGTAAACCCACCAAACTTATACTGTAAAGACATCATTCTGGCTGGGCATGTTTTATTAACAACTAAAATTGAGTGATAAACAAACACTAAGGTTATTGTACTAATCTCTTTTTTTGGGTGTGTTTGAAATTTCCCATAAGAAGTTTAAAAAAACAATAATATGATCCCTGGCTGCTGTGAGGGAAACGGACTGGGTGTGGGGACAATGGGGGGAGGCAGGGAGGCCAGTTTGGGGGCCACCACAGGGGTCTGGGCGAGAGGGGAAGGTGAGCGGAACCAGAGTGTCAGGGGTGAAGTGGAGCAGCCACGGGATTTGCCCGTGGACAGAACGAGGGATGGGAGAAAATTAGCTCGGGCTGAGCCTCCGGATGCCTAGTGGTTCAGAGGACCGCGGAGACGGGAAGGGGTTTGGGAGTGGCCTCTGAGGGGAGATGTCAGGCGAACAAGTCCAGAGTTCAGGGAAGAATCAGGGCTGGTCACCCATTTGGGTATCACTGGCATATAAATAGCATTTAAAACCACGGGACTGGATGAGATCACCTGGGAAGTGGGCGTTGATGGAGAAGAAAGAGGACTCAGGACTGAGCCCGGGGGCCCGCCTTTGGGTACAGGTGGAGGAGAGGAAAGGAGAAGGAGGCGGCAAAGGAGATCAGAATGAGCAGCTCCTGGGGCAGGAGGAAGCTCAGCAGAAGGGGAGTTGCTCTCTCCTCATCCCTCAAAACGCCACAGCCTTAACCCCAGGGCAGCCCCTGACACTGCTCAGGGCTCCAGCTCTTGCCTAAATGATTGCAACAGGCTCTGCCCTTGCAGTCCACCGGGTCCACTCTCACCATCTTTGTAAAATGCAGATCTGATGCTGTAACTCCCCGTAGCTCATTCAGGGTAAGAAACCAAGTCCACAGCCTGGTGACCACACTCCCTGTGGCCCGGGTCCTACCCAAGGCAGCAGCTACACCTGCAGACGCTCCCACCCCTCTGCACACGTCTGCATACACCCAAGGAGCAGGCGCTACAGCTTGTACCAACAGCCATTCGCCTCTCCCTCCTTCCTGGAGACCATGCTCACCTCCCACACCTGAGCCTGGAAGTACCAGACCTCGCTTTCCCAGTCTCTGGGGCTTCCAGGAAAATATCCTCCATCCCCGAAGGAAAAGAGAGAGACCAGGAGACAAGGCCAACCCTAGCGTGCCTTGGGGCTTTGTCTGTGAGGACACATGATTGCCTGAGCTGCTGTCACCATCTTCTGACCAGAAGGGGCCAACAGAGCAAACGTACAGCATGGCAAACCAGAGGATAGAGTTTGGGTCCTTAGTGAGATCGGTAGGCTCAGACTTGGTTCTGGTGACCGCCGGACTTCCTGTAAGAGGAAATAGCAAACCCCTACTGTTAACACCGGCTCGGGTGGCTTTGGGTTTCTGACACTTGCATTCAGAAACATCCCAACTGACCCCCATATACTCACACATGCGCACACCCCACCCTCGCACGCCTGATGCCCTGAAAGTTGTGCCTCCCACCAGAACTCATGCCCGTTGGCGTTGCCAGGTCTTGCCCCGTCATGCCATCGCCGTTGTCCACTCCTTCCGGCCACAGGATGACTCTGCCCTCTCCTCCACCACCAGCAACCCTTGGCCTTTGTACATCTGAGATCCGACAACAGCTTTGAAACATGAACAGCTGCTATGACTGGGGCAGAAGATAGACGGGCCCCAGGCTGAGCAGCTAGAGTCTGTCCAAAATAGCAAGAGAGGAGAGCTGGGTTCCGCCCAGATAAAAGACAGAGACCACATACTTCTCATTCTCGAGGTCAAGGAGACCTTCCCGACTACACGTGCACAGCAAGGCTCCTCAGAGATTGAAAGGGAGGGGGCGTCACCTCATAATAAGTGATGTCAACCTACCCATAAGCCTCTCCGCTGGAATCCATCGTGGCTAAGAGATGTGTGTGCACACAGGGGAGGACCCTGAGATATACCAAATATGGACTCAGAACCAGGCAAAGCAAGATGATTGGCCAAAGGAAACCCAGAAGAAATGCTCCGTAAGAGTGATTCAAACTGTCATGAGTGCGTGACTCGCTCTCTGAGCCCACCTGTGTGTCTATCCACATGTACCCTATTTCCTCCTAATAAACACTTTACTTGTTTCACTACTTTCCATCTCTATGTGGAAATTCATCTCTACGCAGCTGATGGGCCAGGGCCTTGTCACTGGCCCCTGGTGCCTGGTGGTCTAGTGGCTTGGATTCAGCTTTCTTACTGCTGTGGCCAGACCTCAATCTCCGGCCAGGAACCGAAACCCTGCTTCAAGCTGCTGCAGGCCGAGGCCACCCGAGATCATTGTGGCCCCTTCCTCACCCCAAAACTATTTTCTGTTACCTGACCCTTTCCCCCATTTTGACAGCTGCAGGACCCAGTGTTATCCACTGCCCGGGGGGAAGATGGTTTCTGGCAAAAGTTACAGAAACTTCAGAAGACTGACTTAGAGGAGACAGAAATGTGATAGGTCAGAGAAAGGCCTCTCACCCCGAGGCTGGGACAGCTTCCTGGGCTCCAGAGGGGAAGGAATGTAGTGGGTTGTGGAGAAAGAAGTCTGTGGGGCCTGGGGTCCACGTCTGGGGGGACCAAAGCGGTGTCCAGAGGCCACCAGCACCCCTACCAGTGTTTTACATGGCAAGTCTCATCCTCCATCAGGAGCCTTAGCTACAGGTGCCCACACACCTTGCATGCCCTGGTCAGTGAGCAGGACACCACTGAGGGCCTACAAGGACAGATCAGATAGGCAGGTCCCCCCGGGACCATCCCCCCAGGACCCTCCCCCCAACCAGGGCCTCTCCTGGGACAACCCAAGCCACCCTCAGATGGTCCAACAGGACTGCCTTTACTGGGGTATCCACCTTACTTGAAGGGTCACTCCCCACAGTGACATTCCTCAACATCATAGCACCCATCCACCCCCACCCCAGACAAAGCAGTGGCTCTGGATGTGGAGGGTGTGGGTGACCAGAGTCTGGACAGGAGAAGACACCCCAGCCTCACCTCCTCCACTAGAACAGGGTGGAGTGGTGGCTACTTCTGATTCATCTCTATGACTGCCTCCAGTGCCCTGCACAGGACCTGGCAAACAGAAGGTGCACAATAAATATTTATTGACCTAAATGGAACATGAGGCTGCAGAGATGGGGCCCAGACATCAGCTGGTTGAACTAGCCCCCATCTCCAGCCCCCCTTCCCACTCACCTTCCAGCGATGATTCAGGGGTGGCTGTGTGACCCAGTCTGGCCAATAAGATGATGCAGAAGTCATGGGGAGGGGCTTCCAATAAAGCTTTTGTTTATTGTCATAAACAGAGAAAGCTCAGATGGCCTAGGTTTTTGCACTTTCTCCTTTGTCCTACTGGGAGGTGTAGCAGCTGTGACAAGATGACAGACATGAGGACAAAGGTCTCCATGCAAAAGGTGACAGAAGAGGAAAGAGGATAAGAGCCTGGGTCCCTGATGGCATAACCGAGCCCCAGACCATGCTGCCCAGTCTCAGCTTCCTCTCTGAGACCTGCAAACCCCTCTCTGTTTAAGCCACAGCTATACAGGTGTTCTGTTATTTGCAGCTGAACACAGTGGGTTCACAGCATGTTCTTGGTACAGCTTTAGACTAAGATAGACTGGGGTTTGGATCTTGGCTGGTGTCAGGGTGTTATCAAACTAAACTTGGGTTTGCTCACCCATGTGAAGCAAAACCAATTTACTGACAAGGGGTTGTTGTCAAGGAAAGTACAGCGTGTATTGCAGAGCCCAGCAAGGAGAGTGGGTGGCTTGTGCTCAAAAGACCTGAACTTCCCGACGGTCCTCAGGGAAGGGTTTTTAAAGGCAACACTTGGGGTGAGGGCTGCAGAGTGCATGATTTTCTTCTGGTTGGTTGGTAGTGAGATAACAGGATGGTGTTCCAGGGACATCATCAACCTTCTGGTTCTGACCAACTGGTTTGGGATCTACTGATTATACTCAGCATGTAGTCACCATCCTCCACCTTGGTGAGGGCCTTACTTCCTGCAGAACAACACCAAATTATGTGTCAGATGGTTATGTCAATATATCCCTTGAAGAGGAACTAGGACTCTGTTTTATCACTGAATTATTGTCATTTTTTCCTCACTTAACTGCTTTATCTTTGTTTCAGCATTCCCTCACTTCCCTAATAAGCAATGCTTGTGTCTGCTCTTTGGAACTCAGAGAAGGCCTAAGAGACAAAAGCCATTTTCTAGAAACAGGAAATGGGCGACACGGAGAGGCTTTTGTACTCAGGAGGGTTTCATTCCCCCCTTTTCTTTGATGCTCCTCAGTCCTGAGGGGGACAGGTACAGGACAAGAAAGAGAATAACGTTTTGGATAGAGGTTAATCGTAAGCTTGGTGGGAGAGCTCGGTTTCAGGGGGATTCGGTTTCAGGGGAGGAAGAAATTTTCCTCTACCCTTCTAGGTTCTCCTGGCTGACCTAAGGATTAAATTGACATGAGACAGATTAACAGGAGAAAACCAAACAAAATATAATAACATGTATGCATGGAAGAGACCCAGGAAGACTGATTAACTTGCCAAAATGGCAGAAACACTCACCTTAAATATCATCTTCAGCTAAAGACAAAGGAGGATGTTAGGGTGGGGGTTGGAATTTCAGAAAGGAGGAAGGCAGTTGACACAGATAAAAAAGTAAATGTTTGGTAAACAAATGTTCATGAACCAGGCAGAGACAATGGGATACAGAGTGGACTCTGATCTCTAGACCCCTCCTAGAATTTCCTCCCACCACACCTAGCCCACATTCTTTGCAGATACCTCTGGTGATAGCTCTATTCCAGGAACAGCCCCTCTATCTAAATGATTTAGGCAGTAAGGGGGAAGGTCAAAGTTTCTTTCTGAGTCAATGAAACTGAGCACCTCGGATTGGGACTTGAACCCACGTGCCGGGACTCAAACCCAGCCTAAACTCAGATTGGAACTTGAACCCGTGGGCTGGGACTCTAACCCAGCCAGAACCCACTGTCTTTTAACTGAGATCACACAGCTGGTTTCAGGACTTAATAAAGCTCAGGTTCTTGATGTCTCATTGCAGAAAGAATTCAGTGAGAGACAAAGTGATAGGTAAGAAGTGGATTTATTTAGAGAGAAACACACTCCATAGACAGAGTGTGGACCATCTCAGAAGGCAAGAGCCCCGAAATATGGGGTGCTTATGGGTTTTTTTTGTTTTCTTTGTTTTTTTTTTTTTTGGTGGTATGCGGGCCTCTCACTGTTGTGGCCTCTCCTGTTGCGGAACGCAGGCTCCGGACGCGCAGGCTCAGCGACCATGGCTCATGGGCCCAGCCACTCCGTGGCATGTGGGATCTTCCCGGACCGGGGCACGAACCCGTGTCCCCTGCATAGGCAGGTGGACTCTCAACCACTGCGCCACCAGGGAAGCCCTGGGGTGCTTAGTTTTTATGGGCTGGGTAATTTCACAGGCTAATGAGTGGGAAGATTATTCCAACTATTTTGGAGAAGGGGAGGAGATTTCCAGGCATTGGGCCCCACTCACTTTTGGCCTTTTATGGTTGGTCTCAGAACTGTCATGGTGCCTGTGGATGTGTCATTTAGCATATGCTAATGAATTACAATGAGTATATAGTGAGACTCAAGTTCTACTGGTGGTCGAATCTTCTGCCATCTTGAACCTAGTTGGTTCTAACCAGTTTGTGTCATATCCTCAACGGCTATGTCATTCTTTTAAAGGTTGTGCCCTGCCCGCTTCCCTCCTGTTTCATTAAGGGAAAGACAAATACCATATGCTATCACTTATATGTGGAATCTAAAATATGACACAAATGAACTTATCTACGAAACAGAAACAGACTCACAGACATAGAGAACAGACTTGTGGTTGCCAGGGGGACAGGGGGAGGGGAGGAATGGGTTGGGAGTTTGGGATTTGCAGACGTAAACTATTATATATAGAATGGATAAACAACAAGATCCTTGCAGCCCACTCCATAGAGCATCTTATAGGAGGTGTTTACAGGTCTGTAAATGGAGCACTTCACCACCACCCACAATCTATAGCACAGGGAACTATATTCAATATCCTGTGATAAACCATAATGGAAAAGAATCTGGAAAAGAATATATGTGTGTGTGTGTGTGTGTGTGTGTATACACATATAACTGAATCACTTTGATGTACAGCAGAAATTAACGCAACATTGTAAATCAACTATACTTCAACAAAACAGATTTTTTAAAAAGAGTTTCTTTCTGAGTCTTTTTGGCTGTCATCATTTCCAGCTCAACATAATCTACACGCCAAAGAGACATTTTGGGGTGGCAAGTTTTGCTCCCCTACACAGATAACAGCTGAAATCTGGGTCTCCCCCACTCCCTCTACTCCCCCCAAACTGCTCTTGCCAAGGTCATTAAGGGAAATGACAATAGCTATTGCAATAGACAAATCCTAAGATCTCAGTAGCCTAACACTGTGAGTTTATTTTTGTCCATGTTACCGTGCAGTGCAGGTTGGTGGGGAGGGCATGGCTCCCCACAATCATTTAGGGCTCCAGACGCCTCCGTCTACAGACCCGCTCTCCTCTGGGTGCTTAGAGCCCACTCCACAGAGGGTCATATGGGAGGCGTTTATGGTCCAGGTCTGTAAATGGAGCACTTCACCACCACCCGCAGTCTATTGGCCTGAATTTGGCCACTCGGCCACACCTACAGGTAAGGGAAGCTGGGATGTGGAGTCTAACTCAGGGAGAAGAGGCAAACTTGGTAACTAGTGTGCGCTATCAGGGTCTACCTCAGCCACCAAAGGTCTCCATGTCCCTACATCCAGTGCTCAGTTCCTCAGCCTCATTTTACACCACCTACCAGCACATCGGGCAATGTTGGCCATCCCCCATCTTTTTGTTTTGCAGATTTTTTTTTTTTTTGACAACACCATGTGGCATGTGGGATCTTAGTTCCTTGACCAGGGGTCGAACCTGTGCTCCCTGCATTGGGAATGCCGAGTCTTAACCACCGGACCACCAGGAAAGTCCTTTTTCTTTTTTTTTTTTTCCCATCTTTTTGAAACACTCTGTTCTTGGCATCCTTACTTTCTCGGGGTTTTCTTCAACACTGCTAGACGCTCCTCTTGTTACCTGAAAACTGGATTCACCTCTTGGTGGGTGTTAAGACAAAAGACACAACCAAGCCAAAGATAGGAAGAAGGAAGGATTCATTACCTGCAGCAAGTAAGGAGGACACCTGGGATCTTTCCCAAAGCAGCGTCTCCCTGAACGGCAAAATTGGGGAAGTTTTAAGCTAACGGTATACGCATATTCATGAAGGGGCCTGAGCAGAGGAGAATTCAGCATAGAATTGGAGCAAAGGCCCACAGAGTCCAGGCTTTAGTTGACTGAAGTCAGGAGGATCATTGCTGTCCTCTACTTGGGTGGGGGCCTTAGTTCCCACAGAACTCAAAGATATATTATTATGTACATGCTTTGAGGATGAACTAGGACTCTGCTTTATCACTGCACTATTGTCTGACTGCCTTTTCTCTGTTCCTGCATTCCTTTGTTCCTTTAAGATCCCTGGTTACTGAGACCTGTTCAGGGGCAAGCATTGTGGCCAAGCTTAGATCACAAAATGGCTAAGGCCAAAATGGCTTCTCTTCTGTCCAGAAAACCATTCCTGGTTCTCTTTCTCTGGGGACCCCCTAACCGATCTGCTTACACTCTGAAACACTGAAGTGTTGGAGGTCCTCAAGCTGGATCCTGAGGGCTCTCCCCTCCCCTTTCTCTTCTCTGAGCAATCTCACCTGTGCCAGATGCTTCACTCACCACAGGTTGTACTCATGACCTTGAATCTGTCTCCAGCCTGGCTTCTCTCCTGAGCTCAAGACTCTGGCATCAAGTAGACATCTTCAAGTACGCATCTCAAAGTCAACATTCCCAAACTCTTAGTATCCTCTTCACCCCAAACCTACTCCTCTTCCTGGATTCCCCCACTACGAATGGCACCATCAACCCTGGACATCAACCTCCTGCCTGGCTAACTGCAACAGTCTCCCAAACTGCCTGCCCACACTTCAATCCCCTACAAGGGTTCTCTAGGCTAGTGCCTCTGAAAATTCATCTGCATAGAAATCACCCGGAGAGTTTGTTAAAAAGCAGATCCCTGGGCCCTACGACCACCCCATTCGATAGGCCTGGGATAAGACTCAAGAATTTGCATTTCTAACAAATTTGCTTTTCTAACAATTGCATTTCCCCTAAGGTCCTTCCCTGGAGCAACCCAAGCTAATGATGCTGATGCAGGTGCTGCAAGTCTGTGGACCATACTTTGAGTAGCAAGGCTCCCTGCTCTGTCCAACTCGGAGGCCACTAGCCACAGATGGCTGTTTAAATTATTTAAATAAATTTTAAAATTCATTCCTCAGTGCTGAGACAGGCAGGAAGGGGGCAGGGCACAACCATTAAATCCCCACCCCTCCTCCAAGATAGTCAGAATATCCCCCCCACTCATTAGCGTATGAAATTATCCAGCCCATAAAAACTAACCTCCCGGGCTTCCCTGGTGGCGCAGTGGTTGAGAGTCCGCCTGCCGATGCAGGGGACACGGTTCGTGCCCCGGTCCGCGAAGATCCCACATGCCGTGGAGCGGCTGGGCCCGTGAGCCATGGCCGCTGAGCCTGCTCTTCCGGAGCCTGTGCTCTGCAACGGGAGAGGCCACAACAGTGAGAGGCCCGCGTACCGCAAAAAACAAAAACAAACAAACAAAAAAAACAGAGAAAACTAACCTCCCCATATTTCAGGGCAACCTGTCACTTTCTGAGATGGCCCACACTCTGTCTATGGAGTCTGTATCACTCTCAGTAAGTCCACTTCTTACCTATCACTTTGCCTCTTGCTGAATTCCTTCCGCAACAACACATAAAGAACCTGAGCTTCATTAAGTCCTGAGACCAGGTATGTGATTTCACCAGGGAGACTGTGAGTTCAAGTCCCCTCCTAAACCAGAGATTGTGGGTTCAAGTCCCATCTGAAGTGCGACTGGCTTCAAGTCCCAACCTATAGTGTTTGTTTTCAGCAGCACTAGGCTCATTTCAAGCGCTCAACAGCCACTTGAACAGCGTGTATTTATAAAACAGTTCCATCACCAAAGAAAGTTCTACTGGACAGCCTTGCATGGATCTTGGTGACTGTTCTAAAAATGAAGGCTAATCCTAGGTCCCTCTTTGGTCCGCAAGAATTCTGAGGCTCCTACTGCCTAAAAGCTGATGCTTTGGAGAAGCATAAAGGACGTCAGGAGTCGGGAGGGCACAGAGGACATTACTCAACCCAGATACCTTCCAAACTTCTCAGCAAGATTCTGGGATCTTCCCGGACTGAAGGCGGGCCAAGAACTTTGAGCTCATTGGCTGGTGGTGGAGGGGTGGGCGAGTTGCCAGCGCTTTCCTCTGATTGGACATTTTCTCTTAGCAGAAAACCAATCATCGAAGGAGGTGGGGGCGTGGCCAGGCTCGCCTACAGGCCCTTCCGCGAGTTCCAGCGCCCACCCACCCCGCTGGCGTGTCAGATAGGTGGTGAGTTCTGAACCCCTACCACCTAAGGGGCCCTTCCGCCCTGGAATCCCGCTCGCGTTGGCCGACAAGGAGGTGGGGCAGGTCCTCCCTCCCGCCGCGGGGAACACCCCTTCCAGCAGCCCTGAGTCCCCAGGTGTCCAGCCTCGCCCTCCCTGCGCTCAGTGTTCCCAACCCCACCCCCAGTGAAATGGGATTGCATTGTGCCGGTGGCCGGGAGAGGCACCCTCCTGACAGCCTCCTCTGCTGGGCATGATGGGTGGGAGGGAGGTGAGACTGAGGTGGGCCTCAGGACACGGAAGCCGTGTCCCACAGGAGGATGGCTCTGGAAGAGGGCCGGAGCCTGCCCGAGGTGCGGGCGCGAGTGGGGGCTTCGCATGGCATCACCGACCTGGCCCACAAGCTTCACTTCTATGACCAATGGGCTCCGGATTATGACCAGGTAAACCGGCCGGGTCCTCACCTCTGCTTCCATCTACTTGCACGGCCTCAGTTTTCGTGTCTGTAAAGCCGGAATAGTGAGCCTTGCATCATCGCAGG